TTCCCTCCCAACAGCCAATATAAACCTACTCTGCCATGCTGTCCTGCAGCTGGTGAGGCTGGCAATGGGCTCACCTCTCTGGAGGTGACAGCAGTGACTGACCACAGGGTTCTGCTGCCCTCACATGTTTTTTACCAACACCCAAATTTTCTAAGTCAGCCTTGCGCTAAGTGGCACTTTCCAAGGGTTGTGATTGTGTTCCAAGAAAGGCCCTTGCAGTCACTCACGCAGCTTTATTTTATTTTATTTTATTTTATTTTATTTTATTTTATTTTATTTTATTTTATTTTTACCTTTCATGAAGTAAAAATCCTGCTTGAAAAGCAACTGAGGAAAATGCCAGGTTCACTAAATCCACGCCTGCCTCTGGGTAAAGTTTGGAATCCTGCAAAGCAAGGAAACAGCAGCTCAGCCTTCAGCAATGGTTGGATTTAAACTGGCTATTAATATTAATAACAATATTAATGCTTCTTCTTTGGGCTGCACCTGCCACTGCCTCCCGAGTCCCTCTCCTTTCCTTTCCCCAGTGCTCAGGGGGAGCAGTGTAACATACACTGGGAATGTATCTAAATTACCTTGGAGAGCAGCAGCCCCAGAGCCCAGAAGGCTTCACGGAGCTGCCTCCGTGCTGGCGTAGCACCCATGAGAGTATCACACACATAACCCCCAGCACCACAGGTTTTAATTAAATTGTGCCAAGCCCCTGAAACCAACATTCCCCACAGTTGCTCAGTCGTGCCTGCAGTTCTGCCGTGCCTGTTTCCCGAGCTGGAAGTGCTGCAGGTCGGATTTCACCTGCTCCTTCAGCAGCTGTGTCAGCTGGAGCGCACCCCAGCACAGCTCTGGGCTCACACCAGAGGTGCCACAGCCCCAGGTTGTGCCAGGGACTGGATATTGAGGAAAAGTTCTTCACGGAAAGGGTCGAGCACTGTCACGGGCTGCCAGGGCCGTGCTGGACTCACCGTCCCTGAAGTGCTCCGAACACGTCTGGGTGTGGCTCGTGGGAGCTGGCAGCTTCTTAATGATTTTTTGGCTTGGCAGGGCTGCGTTGATGGCTGCATTGGATGATCACAGAATCGTTTAGGTTGGAAAAGAACTCTGAAGTAATTTTTGTTCTTTCCTTATTCTGTTATTTCTGGGAAGGTATGTGGAAATTCCTCCCTGGAGCTGAGGAGTACCCATGAGAGGGACTCCCACGGACACTGAGATAGGTGAAAAGCATCAACGTTTGTTCAGTAATTACTTTATTACCGTTAATATAATTTACTATCAATGTTGCTTCAAAAATATTGCACTGCTCTAGTAGCGAGAGCTACCTACACTGTGTAGTAAAGAATTCGGAATAAGATCTTTTAGCACAATCCTTACAATCATTCATTTAAATATTTTATTTGTAGAAATATTTTTGGGTTGTCATCCTTAATCCTGAAGGACAAAGTCATATAAAGGCTCAGTTGCACAGCTTTAGACACAAACCACTGGCCAAGCCTGGGACTGGACCAGACTCCTGATGGAGGAAGAGCCCAGGGAAACTGCAGAGCTTGGGACCTCCATCCATGCTGCCCCCAGGGGTGACACGGTGGCTGGGTCCCGGAAGGCCTGACGGCGCTGGGGGGCGGCCATGAGCTCTGTCAGCCCCGTCGGGAAGTGCCGGTGCCCGGCGGGGCCGCTGTGGGGCCGATACCGCGCCAAGACCGGGCCGCGCCTCAAGAGGCAACACCGCCCCCCCAAGATGGCGCCGGCCGGGCGGCGTGAGGGAGCCGGGGCTGTCACGTGACTCTCCTCCAACCAATCAGCCTCGGGTACCGCCTCCGTGGCGGGAAGGAGCTCGCGGGAGGAGTCGCTGCCCCCGTGACAACCAATCAGCGGCGGCCTGGCTGCTGTGGTGTCACGTGCCTCCCCGCCAGCCAATCGGCGGCGGGCGGCGGCGGCGCCAAGATGGCGGACGATAAGGTGAGCGGGGCGGCCCGGGGCTGAGGGGCCGCTGGGCTGCGGGGAGGCCGCGCCGGTTCCTCCCGCGGGACGGGGGCGGGAATCACCTCCGTGTCTCCCGCAGGACTCGCTGCCTAAGCTGAAGGACCTCGCCTTCCTGAAGGGGCAGCTGGAGAGCCTGCAGCGCAGGGTGGAAGACGAGGTGCAGGCCGGCGTGGGGCAGGTAACGTGCGGGCTCAGGGCGGGCCGGCCGCGCCCTCTGAGAGGGACTGGTGGGGGGAAAAACAAATCCCAGCGAAAAAAACAACCCACAACTCACCCTGGGGCACGTCCCGTGTCGCCCCCTCCCCGGTGCCGTCCGGCCGTGCCTCACTGTGCTCTCCCCTCAGGACGGATCGCTGCTGGCATCGCCCTTGCTCAAAGGCTTCCTGGCGGGATACCTGGTAGCCAAGCTCCGCTTCTCCGCCGTCCTGGGCTTCGTGGCCGGCACCTGCACCGGGATTTACGCCGCCCAGAACTATGCCGTGCCCAACGTTGAGAAGACGATTCGGGACTATGTGAATTCGCTGAAGAAAGGTCGGGACTAGCGAGGAGGAGCCCGGAGGCAGCAGGGACTGCAGGAACCGTGCTCCTTAGGTAGCAGGCACAGAGCACCCCTAGGGCTCTGAGAGGCGCATCACCTGCACCCTTCTTTTCCCTGGAAAAGTGCACCACACCACTGCCACGCGTCAGGGGGCTGGTGATGGGTGTTTGTTGGGCATCATGGCAGCAGTGATCACTGCACTAACCCACAGCAGCTTGAGAGCACTGAGGGGCTGCCAGTTGCCTTTTCCCCTTACCTTTTCCTGTGTCCCTGTGGACTGAGGGGCTGCTGTGCCCGGTCACCCGTGTGCCCTGTGACCCGTGTGCCCTGGCAATGTGCTTTGTGTGGCTTCTCAGGAAGGCTTGTAGTTCTCCTCCTAACGAGAGACAACACCCTGCTCTCCTGCTGCATCACGAGTGTTGCAGGGAACATCCTGCTTGAATCAGGCTCATTAAATTCTTGGTATTTGGTCTCTTCCGTGTTGCAGGGTGAGAGTCTGTGCGGCCTCTACACTGACAGCAGCTCACTCGTGCTGGCTCTCACCCGGAAATGGGGATCCTTGGGAATGCTGCTGGCTCTGCCAACAGGCTGCTCCACAGGGGGCTGTGGGCACTGATGCTGCTGCTCTCTGTGGCCATCTACGGTTCTCACGCCCCCCTCCTGACCCTGTGCAAGGTGGATGGGGCCATCCCCTTCAGTTCCACGTCCGTGGTGGTCCTGGTGGAGCTGACCAAGCTGGCGCTGTCGCTGCTGTTCCTGCTGCCGGGGGCGCGGGAGCCGCTGCCGGCGGCGCTGTCCTGGCGTCACGCCGCACCCTTCGCCCTCTCGGCCCTGCTCTACGCTGCCAACAACAACCTGGTGGTGCACATGCAGCTCTTCATGGACCCCAGCACCTTCCAGGTGCTCAGTAACCTGAAGATCGTCAGCACGGCGCTGCTCTACAGCCTCCTGCTGCGCCGGCGCCTGGGCGCGCGCCGCTGGCTGGCCCTGCTGCTGCTGCTGGCCGCCGGTGTCACCTACAGCTGCGGGGGGCTGCAGGGACACGGGGACCCCCGAGGGATGCGCCTGCACGTCACCCCCGTGGGGCTGCTGCTGCTCTCCGTGTACTGCCTCATCTCCGGCCTCTCTGCTGTCTACACCGAAGCCATCCTGAAAAGCCAGGCGCTGCCCCTCAGCCTCCAGAACATCTTCCTGTACTTTTTTGGGGTGCTGCTCAACCTGATGGGCTCCGTGTGGAGCGGCATGGAGGGCGGGTTCCTGGAGGGCTTCTCCCCGTGGGTGCTGCTGGTCGTGCTCAGCCAGGCTCTCAATGGCCTCATCATGTCCGTGGTGATGAAGCACAGCAGCAATATCACCAGGCTCTTCGTCATCTCCTGCTCCATCCTGGTCAATGCTCTCCTCTCTGTTGCCCTCTTCAACCTGCAGCTCACCCTCCTCTTCTTTGTGGCCGTGGCGTGCATTGGCCTGGCTGTGCACCTGTACTACGGAGTCACGTAGTCACTGCCTTCCTCCCACCTGTCTGGGCAGCCCCAGCCCTTCCTCAGGGCTGGAATCATTCCTGGTGGGAGCCTGCACAGCTCCAAGGATCTCCTGAGGAGGAGTGCTGAGGGGGAGAGCACCCTGTCCCTGCTTCCCCAGGGAAACTGCCCAGCTCCAGTCCAGCCAGGCTCTGTGCCATGGGGCTCTCATGGGATCAGGCATGCACAGCCTTAGGGGGGTCCTGAACCCCTTGTGCATGCCTCATAGTCTCAGGATGTGCCAGGGGAGGTTCAGGTTGGACTTTAGGAATGATTTCTTCTCAGAGGGGGTGATGAAACATTGGAAGGGGCTGCCCAGGGAGGTGGTGCAGTCACCATCACTGGAGGTGTTTAAGGACTCACCCCGGCACTTAATGCCATGGTCTGGTTGACAGGGTGGGGTTGGCTTACAGGTTTGACACCATGATCTCAGAGGTCTTTTCCCACCTAAATGATTCTGGGACTCTGTGTCCCTTGTCCTCATCTGCTTCCCCACACCACAGTGGCCTGGGAATGCCCTGGCAGTATTGGCCCTGCTGTACCTCCTGCCAGCCCAGCATGGGACTGGTGCTGTTTCAGCTCCCATGGATGCTGCTTGATCCCTGCCATTCCTGGTGCTGCTTCCCTGGGCCTCTCCCACCTCCACAGTGTTCCAGCGTAGCCCTGCCTGGAGCCCTGCTGTCCTCAGGCCCCGTTTCCCCTTCCTGGGCACAGTGTCTGCAGAGCAGCCAGGGACTGGGGCATGTGGGAGCTTTCACCTGCTCCCCAAAAGGGGGACGCCCCCCATATTTGTACCAAGTTTCTGGCAGGCCGAGGCCACCCGGGGTATTAAAGCTGTGGTTCAACAGCATCCATGTGTCTGTCCTGTGTCTGCCCGCCCTGTGGGATGGTGGCTGTGCCCCTTGGGACAGGTTTGAGGGCCAGGGGTGTGTCTGAGCCTGACAATACATGGCTGAGGGCACCCACTTTATTCCATGTGGCTGCAGCCCTCCCGCCAGGCTGAGCCTGTGCTCCCACAGCCACATTCCCAGCAGAGAGCAGGCTTTCCCTCGGGAGCAGCAGCCGGAGGCCTGGGATAACTCATGTGCCTGGGGCTGCCCAGTCTCCTGGTACCGCCGGTGGCTCGGTGCAGGGACCCGCTCCTGCCAGGCCAGCTGTCCCCACGCCCCGGGCGTGGCTCAGGGGATCTGTGTGGTGGCATCGGCCGTGCCTGCCCGTCGGGTGTCCCGCAGGCGCTGGTTGTGCTCGGCGAGCTCCGCAGCGTCCTGGAGCGCCTTCTGCAGCAGCGCCCGGTGCCGGCGCTCCAGGGCCGCCCGCTGCTCCTCCGCCAGGCGCTGCTGGTCCCGGAGCACCTGCGGGATGCCCGGGCGGTCTGACACAGCCCTGGCACAGCCGGAAGAGGTGCCCCAGCCCTGCCTGCCCACCTGCAGCAGGTGCTGTCTGCAGGCCTGCATCTCCTGGCGGTGACAGTGCAGCAGGGCCTCCAGGTGCCACTCGGCCGCCTCCCGCTCCCGCAGCGCTGCCTCCAGAATCAGGCCCAGCGCGGTCACCTCCCGCTGCCAGCGCTCTGTGTCCCACTGCGGGGGACAGGGACACGGTCAGGGCAGCTCCGGGGTGTCCCTGCTCCCTTGGGCTGCGCTAGGGAGAGCAGTGCCAGGGGAGGAGAGGCTGGAGCTCGCAGTGCTGTGCTCACCTCCCCGCTGTGCTCCTGGGCCGGCACAGTGCCAGCCCCCAGCTCTCGCTGGAGCTGCCGGCAGTGCTGAGCCCGCAGCCGCTGCCGCTGTGCCCTGGCCAGGGCCCGCTGGACCTCCGGGGATGGGCATTGCTGGCACCGGCTCCCTGCCTGGGGGAGAGCAGAGCGGGCTCGGGTGCCACCAGGAGCCAGTGCTGGCAGCAGAGCTGGCCCTGTGCAGGGACCCTGCGGGCTCCCACTCACGCTGTCGCACCAGGGCCATGGCTGTGACACTTTGCTCTGGGATGGCTCCTCCAGCAGCCCCTGCCCTGTGCTGGCCAGAGCTCGGCTGTCCCCTCCCTGGCTTGTGCTGTCACCCCATCCTGCAGTGTGGGGACAGGGGAGGAGGATGAGTGTGACATGGGGGGCTGAAGAAGGATGTTCAGATGGAGAGTGAGGCCTTTCCCACCGTGTAAAGCCGTGCTCTGTGCCCACATATCCTGCACCCAGTTGCGGGATGCGTGCCTGGCCCCACGCTCTGGTTCTGCTGGCTCCAGGCTGGCACTGCTTGGGGCTGTCTGGGTCCTAGACTGCTGGCCTGGAGCTGTATTCCCTGCAGATACCTGGTTCTGTCAGAGAAGGGGATTCAGCTGGGATTCAGGGCTTTTCCTGCACCTGACTGTCCCTGGGTGAGGGGGCCTGGCCTGATTTCTGCCCACCTTGGCGCTGGGCTGGTCTATCTCACTTGTCCCAAGCACCTTGGCCACTGCCTTCTTTTTCTCCCACCTTTGACTCTTTAGCACCTGGAAAAGGGGAACTTGTTGGGGTGTTCCAGACCTCCAGGCCTGGCGTGGCTCCAGGGACACATCTCACCCCTGGGGCAGCTTCAGCCCTGCCCTCAGTGCTGGACAAGGGCCTTGACATCAGGATGGGTCAAGAGCCTGCACCTTACCCAGCCCAGGGAATGTCCATCCCAGTCCCCACCTGCAGCTCCCTCAGGGCTCTCTGCAGCTGGGCCACAGCTCTCCTCTGCTCAGGGCAGCCCAACCCAGCCAGCAGCTCCATCCGCAGCCCTCGCATCTCCCTGCGGCGTGCTGCAATCTCCTCCTCAGGGTCCCAGACTGTGGCAGTGATGGTCTTGGCCAGCCCCTTCACCCTCTCAGCCAGTCCCAGAGCTCCCAGGAACTCCTCTCTGGACGTGTCTGGGAGAGCAGCGAGCCCTGGGCAGGGGCCATGGGGGGCCCCCAGCACAGGGGTCCCAGTGCGATGGAGATGAGTGGAGCTGTGTCCAGCTTCCAATGACTGCAGGTGTCCCCGGGCAGCAGCCAGGCACCGAGTGCCAGCTGTGGGGCAGGATGGGGGGAATCCTCAGGGAGGGGGCACCCAGAGTGCGTCCCAGTCCCAGAGGCTACCTGGCAGTGACACACACAGCAGCAGGAAGGTCAGGCTGTTCCCCTCCAGCAGCCGCTCCACGATCCAGGGCAGGCAGACAGCTCCAGGTTCCCTGCACTCCCTGCACGTGGGGAGAGACACCCCAGGAGAGGGCCGGCTCTTACCGTGCCTGGCAGGCTGAACCCGACCCACAGGGACCCAAGGATGGGCTGGCCCCACATATCCCCAGGCCCATGTCCCCAAGGAGGAGTGACACCCCCTTGGCTCCCAGCCACAGCTCCCACTGGGGTGTCCCTCATGCTTCACCTCCAGGAATGGAATTCCCTGACCCCCAGCAGGCACAGGAGGGGGAGCAGAGCTCAGCCCTGTACGTACAGCCTGCTGGCCCCTGGGGACACCAGGATCCTGAGGGCCGAGCGCTGGCGCCTGCCACCCTCCAGCTCTCGCTCCACGGTGAGAGTGAAGAGGCTGCCGGCCCTGGGGAGAGGCCGGTGTGGGAGTGGGGCTGCAGCAGAGCCAGCCCCAGCACCCCATGCCCGACCCTTCCCAACCTGTGGGATCTGGGTCAAATCCCTCACCCCTGCACAGCTGAGCCCCTGTCTGTGAGGGGTTGCTGAGCATACCCCTGGAACAACGCTGGGATGGCACCCAGCCCCCTGGCATAGGCACTGATGGCAGCCTGGGCATCGGGCACGGCCACTTCTGTTGCCTCTTCCACCATCCTGGAAGCAGAGGGAGACAAGACCAAGTGAGGAGGGTCACATCCACGCCCTGGACTCCCTGAGGAGCACCCCTGGCCATGCTGTGGCTGGGCACCATGCTCCCTGCCCAGCCCACTGCAGCATGCTCAGCCGTGGAGCATCAGGTACCTACAGGCCCAGGGGTGCCACATCCATCACCTGCAGGGCTCGGCCGTCGGGACAGAGCAGGTCCCAGGCTTTGTTGTGGCTGCTGACCTGGAATGAGGGGGTTGCATTAGGCAGGGGGCAGGAAAAGGGGCTGCTGGCATCCCACACTCACCAGGGGCCCGGACTGCTTGTGGCCATGCACAGGTGAGGGTTGAGAAAGGCTCATTTTGGGGTAACTCCCAGCTTTCCCAGCCCTGGCACCAGGGAAGGGCAGAGCCCTGGGAACGCCCGAGCCCTGTGTGGAGCTTATCAGACCCCTGGCAGCACCCCAGAGCCAAAGGGCAGGACCCAGCCCAGTGGCAGGAGCTGGCATCACTCCTGTGCCACTCACGGTCACACTGGAGGGACCTTCAGGCCCCAGGGAGCAGTGAGTGGCCCGGAAAGCCCAGCTGTGATGGGAGCAGGAAGGGGTTAGAGGGCGATCCTGATCCCACCATGCTGCTGGAGCCCAGGAGGTGCTCTGTGGGCAGCTAAGGCTTCCCACATCTGGGAAGTCCTGGAAAGAGGTGAGAACACCTGGGATCCAAAGGTCTCCAGTCCCTGGCCACCGTCTGGATGAGGGGACTGGATGCCAGCACAGGGCAATACGTGCTCTTGGCACAGCAGGGTCTGGGCAGTGGCAGAGAGGGAATGGGACCCTCATCCCAGGCCATCCTGCCCTGCTCCTGCCCTACCTGGACCAGGCTGACCATCTGCAGGCTCTGTGTGGCATCCCCCAAGGCCTCCAGTTCCTGGAAGACGGTGTCAATCACCTGTGGACAAGCTGGGAGCTGTTGCTTCCCAGACCCATGGCTGGATCTCAGCCCTGCCCTGGTGGGATCAGGGTCTGCTGGGTGACCCAGGAGCCCAGCACTGCACAGTTGTGCTGTCCCCTGTCCCTGCCAGCTGTCCCCTGTGCCCTCACCTGCCAGATGACACTCTGGAAGGGCAGCTGTGTCTCAGGGCCGTGGGGGTCCCACAGCAGCAGGGACACGCTGTAGCCAAGGGGAACCAGGGCCAGCTGGGGCCTTGCCAACTCCAGCACCTTCTCCTGGCAGGAGAGACATATCCAGCAGGGCACAGCGTGGCACAGCCAGCATGGCACAGCCAGCATGGCACAGCCAGCATGGTGCAGAGGGCCCTGGCCCGTGTGGCTGGGGACAGGGTACAGGGAAGGACTGGGGGCTCTGGGTACCTGTCCTGCATCCAAGTGGAAAACACCATCGACAGTCAGGGAGCTCTCCTGGTGCAAGGAGGGGGATAATGTTCATTATCAGCTTTCCCCTATCCCAGCATGACCAGGGCAGGGCAAAGGAGGGACTGGGCACACTGGAATGGAGATGGCAGGGGTGGCACAGAGGGCCTGGCATGGGCAGGGGTGAGGAGAGACCCCCTCCCTTCCCTGCTCTCTGGGAGCCCCCAGCAGTCCCTACAAGGGAGGGCCCATAGGGGTGTAGGGCAGGGTCAGCCCAAGAGCTCAGCTCCCATCAGGTGTGGCAGGGGGTGACACAGAGCCCTGCTCCCTCCTGGTTCCCCAGGGACCCTCGTGTCCCTGCCCTGCAGCTCTCACCTGGGGCTCCTTCCCAGCCAAGAGGAGCTGTAGGGGGTCCTTGCTGCTGTCCAGCCAGCTTTCTCCTGGCCCTGCAAACACTGAGTGTGGGATGTGGGGGGGGTCACCCCCACCTGTCCTAGAGCCACATCCCAGGGCTTCACCTCATTCCCGAGCCCTCCCAGTATGACTCAGAGCCACCAGGATGGGGAGGACACCCTGTCCCTGTCAGCACTGCCCAGTGCTGGGTCCCAGTGCCACCACAGCTGTGGCTGCCAGGCTGTCCCCTTGTTCCCTGGTGTTCAGGTGAAGGCTCTGGGGTGGCCTGAGCTCTACCTGCTGCCTGCTGGAGGCCCAGGGCTGCTCGCACGCTGACATCCTGCTCAGCCTGCAGGGACACAGGGGGAAGCAGCCACACACTCAGCAGCAGCAGCTGGAGGAGACCCCAGGGAGCTGGGCAGCCCCTGACAGATCCCTGCAAGCCAGCCTGGGCTGTCCCCCAGCACAGCACTCACCTGCTCCATGGGCAGTGTGGCAGCAGCGCCCCTGAGCTGCTGTTGGGCCAGGGCAGGGATGGGGTTACCTGGGGGATCCGGTTCTCCTGCATTATTGATGGATGTGGGCAGAGCCAGAGACAGCCTGGAGGCACCCTGTTCCAGGGGCTGAGCCCTGCTGGACAGGAATCAGCGGGGCCACAGAGGTGCCTGGGGCCACTCACACCACCGGGGTGCTCCCAGCCCCAAGAGGGACATCTCAGCCATGGCTGGGAGGTGAGGGACCCTGGACTGCCACGCACGGTGTCACAAGTGACCACAAAGCACAGAATCACTGCAGATCGGTCACAGCAAGAGAGCACAGAAGGAAATGCCGGTGCTGAGGATCCCTGCTGTCTGTGGAAGTGCTGATGGGGAGTGCCAGGAGAGAGGGCCCAGGACAGCCCCTGCCCTGCTGTGGCAGGACCAGGGGGAGCAGATGCACACGTGTGCCTCTGCCTGCCTGTTCCCTGTGCAGAGTGAGACCAACGCCCCTGCCCCCCAAAAGTCCCTCACCTGTGCCTCAGGTGTGAGCCTGACGCCAGCTGGACACAGATGGAGCACTGGGGGCTCCATCAGGAGCAGGCAGGTCTCGTGGCAGGGACAACAGGGACATGCTGGGGCTTGGGGAGTCGCAGGAGGCCAGAAGGAAAACCCGGGGCAGCGTGGAGCCCTGGGACAGAGCAGGGCACCGGGCTTTGAGGGGCTCCCCTGCGCTCGGCTGGGCAAAGCCACAGTGGGATAATGCTGGGGGAAAGCCCTGCTCCACAGGGCAGCCCAGAATGGGGACTCCAAGAGCACTTGGGGGTCCTGTGAGCCTTCCAGGGAGCCCCTGGTGGGAAGGGGCACACACCCCCTTCTGCTCTGTGCTCTGTCCCTGACCAGGCAGATCGGTGCAAGGCATAGCAAAGCCTGGGATTCAGGAGACAGGGGTTTATGTCTCCTTCCTCATCCATCAGCAGCAGCTGCTGCTCCCTGTTCCATGTCCAGCCAGGCCAGGGGCACCCTGTTGTGCACCCTGGTCAGCAGCAGCAGAGCCTTCACAACACCCTGAGCCAGCAGCCCCCTCCCCAGCCCAGGGCACGGCCCCATCCTCCCTCGGGCTGCCCAGGGCTGCTGGCACAGCCCCTCCACCCGGGCGGGGCACACCCTGGACATGAGCACACCCCAGTCCCTCCCGACCCACACCTGACCCCACACCCTGTTCAGCAGCTCCCCAGCCCCAGCCTTGGTCCTTCCCCCACCCCAGCCAGCCCAGGCTGTGTTTGCCCGCAGGTCATGTGTACCTGTGCTCAAACAGAGACAGGGAGGGACACGGGGAACACCCAGGCACAGCCTTTAATGCAGAAGCAGGACAGGCCCTGGGGAAGAAGAGCAGGGCTTGGCCAGGGGAGCGCTGCCTGCCTGCCACCAGCCCCTGCTTCTCTCAAGGACACAGTGACAGGACAGGGGGGAATGGCTTCGCACTGCCAGAGGCAGGGTTAGATGGGATATCAGAGAGAAATTCTTCCCTGTGAGGGTGCTGAGGCCCTGGCACAGGGTGCCCAGAGAAGCTGTGGCTGCCCCTGGATCCCTGGCAGTGCCCAAGGCCAGGCTGGACAGGGCTTGGAGCAGCCTGGGATGGTGGGAGGTGTCCCTGCCCAGGGCAGGGGGTGGAATGAGATGAGCTTTAAGGTACCTTTCAACTGAAACTGCCCTGTGATTCTATGATTCTCCCCCAACCCCATTTTCCCAAGCCTGTCCCTTCCCCACCCTCCCCTTTGAATATTCCCCAGTCCTGCATCCCATAATCCTTTTTCTCCTTACTATGAGATATTCTCTGAATAACCCAGAACAAATGAATTTTCTTCTTATCACTTAAAAAGTTTCTGGTTGAACCTCCTCAGGGTCCCACTTGGACCCATCCGCCAGTACCTCAGGTCAGGGCGCAAGGAGCTGCTCCAGCTCATTAGCATTTGTGTGCAGGGTGTTTAATTTGGTCATTTTCCTATTTTTCATGGGTTTTTGGTTTTTCTCTTAGGCTGAAGAGCAGCCAAGCAGCATTCTGCCAACCCTGACATCCTGGCCCAGCCAGAGCCTGGGTGAGGAGAGGGAGGATCAGCACAGGGCTCCAAGGAGGCTCCAAGGATGCCTGGACTGCAGGGGCTGAAAGGTGTGGGGGGCTCCCCCAGCAGAGCCCAGCAAGGCTGGGGGCATCTGAGTGCTGCCAGTGGGATCTGATGGAGCTGAGCTCCTCTTGTCCAGGCCAGGTGACATAGCAGGGACAGCGGGGCGTGCTGGGGCTTGGGGAGCCACAGGGACATCCCCAGGGGGAGGCTGTGGCTGTGGGTCAGAGCATGGCACGGGGCTGGAGGTGAGGGGTGCCCCAGGGCCTGGCTGGGCACACTCCTGTGGTAATCACACATCCCCTAGCAGAGACACAGACAGTTCTCCCAGGATTTTCCTGGGGAGCTGTGAGAAGCTCAGAGAAAAGGACTACAAACAATTCTTATCTCCACTTGCTGCACCTGTTGTCGTGTGCATGTGGAATGTGTTATGGAGATTGTTTACCAAAGGCTGATTTTTTAATTGGCCACTGGTGATGGTGTTTGGATTGATTGATCAATTAGGGCAAAGCTGTATGGGACTGTCTGCAAGGGCGATGGGTTTTTTCTTATTAGAACAGTACAATATAGTAGAATGAAGTGATTGATCAGCCTTCTGCAATCATGGAGTCGATGCTCATTATTCCCCATTCAGGGCTCGCTGCTATGGTACAGGCACAGCAGGAAAACCCAGTGGACAGCCCTGCTCCAGCAGGGAGCCCCTCTGGGCACAGGGAGAGCCCCTCAGCAGAACGGGGAGCTGAGAGCCCGCCCGGGAGCCCCTGGGGGCAGCAGCGCTGGGAAGGTCCCGGTGCCGCTCAGGCTCTGCGGCACACGCTGCTCCTGGCCAGGCACACGGCCCCAGCCACAGCCAGCAGGGCCAGGGCCACGCAGAGCGGGGCCACCACGGCGGCGAGGTCACAGCGCAGCACCGACAGGGGCACCCGTGCCACCTGCCAGTCCCGGTACTGGGCTGGGGAGTGGCACCTGTAGTCCCCGGGCCAGCCCTGCCCCAGGTGCCCCGTGGCTGCCAGCGCCTGCAGCCCCCCGGCCCCAGAGCAGGAGCAGCTGAAGGGGTTGCCAGCCACAGCCACGTCCTGCAGGCGCCCCAGGAGCTTCACCTCATCCCTGGGCAGCTCCCAAATGGAGTTGTTGTCCAGGTGGAGGGTGTCCAGCACGGGGCAATTCCTGATGGAGGGGACAGCCTGCAGCAGGTTTTGATTCAGGAAGAGCTTCTTCATGGAGCTGAGGGAGATGTCTACAGCGTGGAGGTGGTTGTGGCTCATGTCCAGCACCTCGAGGCGGGGAGGCAGCGGTGCTGGCACTTCATCCAAGCCGGTGTTGGACAGGTTGAAGTGCCGGAGGGAAGGTGGCCACTGGCAGGAGGAGGATGGGCCTGCCACGAGCTCGTTGTGGCTGAGATCCAGGTGCTGGAGCTCCAGCAGCAGCCCCAGGCCCTCACACACGCCGTGGTAGGAGCTCAGGTTGTTGTGGTGCAGACTCAGCTGCTGGAGCTGAGGGAAGGCTCCCTGGCAGAAGGCGGGGCTCAGGCTCCCGTCCCCGAGGCTGTTGTGTGCCAGGCTCAGGGAGCGCAGGGCTCTGAACAGCCTCCCGATGGCACAGGGCAGGCTGGTGACACCGGAGCCGGTGACAGCCAGCTCCTCCAGGGTCTCCAGCCACCTGCTCAGGCTGGAGAAGGCCTGCTCACGGCCTGTCAGCGGGGCTGAGGTCACGTTGTGGAAGCTCAGGGACAGGATGGGCAAGTTCTGCCCATCCATGTCACTCCAGTCGCCTGTGCCCTGGAAAATGCAGCTCTCAAAGGCCAGCTCCTGCACGTGCGTGTAGGAGAAGAACCTCAGCACACGGGCAAGGAGAATCTCAGGCACCAGGACATTTCCAATAATTATTTTCTGGATGACAAGGGAGCCCAGAGTGTCAATGACAGAGTTGTCCAGGTCCCTGATGGGGAAGGCTGCGTATTTCTCCAGATTCCCACCCCAAAACTCCACCGTGGTTGCTGGGAGGCACTGGATGATGCTGCCAGCGGTCTCCTCGGACAGGTTGTAGCACACACAGGACTCCTGAGTGCGGTTGAAGAAACATCTGTTCCTTCTGCCCTCTGCCACCTGCAGCCCCAGCCCCAGGAGCAGGAGCACGGCCACACTCATGGTGAACAACCTAAAAACTGGGGGAGAAACGGTGAATGGCAGCTGAGGGGACCACTCTGACCCAGCCTGGAGGGATGGCTTGGGCAGGCTGAGCCCTGCAGAGCCACCCCTCGGGGACAGGGCGCTGCCCTCGTCCCTCCTGCACCCTCCTGGCCACTGAGCCGTGCTCGGGCCAGCAGCCAAACGCCCAGGAGCTGCACCCGTGCCACCCTGGCTGCAGCAGGGAGTCTCCCGAGGCTCTGCACTGTCCTGCCTGGCTGCCTTGCTGCAGGCTCCCACTCCTGGGCGAGCAGGAAATGCCTGGAGAAACTACAACTGTGGAGTTACAGACAGCGAAGCCAGATGTACCAGTGTGACCAGGGACAGAGCCCCAGCTCTGTTTGTTCCTCTGTAATCTGGGGCAGGAAATTGCAACAGACGGCTTCATGCTTTCTCCTTCCTCACCCAGCGATTTGATTCATCACCGGCCCCCAGAGGGGTAGAAAATGACCCCTGAAGGTGTGAACACATCCCTGTCTGCACCAGGAGCTGGTCAGCTGACAGAGCCTGATCTCTCATCACCAGATTGCAAAAGAAGCAGCAAGCAAAGATTAAAGACTCCTAAACATGCGCTGACTCAGCTCAAAGGGGGTCTTTGGGGGTCCCCAGCCCAGCCTCCTGCTCCGAGCGGTTCTGTCGCTGGCACCAGCCCTGATCAGGCACAGCTTTCCTCGGCCACATCCCAAAGCCCACCCGGGAC